CAGCTGTTATTTGCATAGTTTCCCCAGCAAAGGTCTCTGAAATGATCTTGATGTGTTGACAGTTGGATGCAACTTTTCCCCAAGGCTCTCCTGAGCAATAACTCAGAAAGGTAGTCTTAAAAACCCGCCAAATGTTACCATCAATATGAACGGTAGGCGGACGACATCAAAGTGAACCTGATGTAAACTCTTATTTCCGTATTCATGTTGCTTGGGTTTGGGATTTGATATCCTCTTGCCAGTGTAGGCCATTAAACCTGAAATATTTTCCAATGCCAGAAATGAAGTGCAATATTTATCTGTAAAACTCTTCTGTCAATAAACTGGCTTTATTGTACTTTTCATATTCAAATAAGTTCAATAAAAAGGCATGCTGTTGCAGCCTGAGTGATTCTTTTTTTAGTTTTAAGGAGGCACACACATAAATGCACACACAAACATTGCTGAATAGAAAAATAATTATAGACTTGTGGTTGCCACAGGCTCATGTAGTTTCACAATGACTTACAGCCACTTTCCTGTGAGTTGCTATAGAGCAGATTACACTTATTCACTCAATTATGTTATATCCAATCTTTGGATATAACATAATTCAGCCCTTTTGTTCACAACTACTCATACAAATCTGAAAAGAAAGATGGGGGAGTAAATAAGTGCAATCTGCTAGAAACTCACAGGAAAGTGGCTGTAAGTAATTGTGAAACGACATGAGCCTGTGGCAACCATAAGTCTATGATTATTTTTCTATTCAGCAATGTTCGTGTGTGCATTTATGTGTGTGCCTCCTTAAAACTAAAAATAGAATCACTCAGGCTGCAACAGCATGTCTTTTTATTGAACTTATTTGAATATGAGAAGTAAAATAAAGCCAGTTTATTGACAGAAGAGTTTTAAAGAAAAATATTGCAGCAAAACAAACCATTTCCACATACACAGTTACAGTTAATTACAGACATTATTGTTGCCCTATTAGATGCTTTATAGCTATACTTTATTTGTTCCTGAAATATTTGGTCTATGTATTACATATATTCTACCTTCAATGGCTTTTCTGACATCAAAAACATTTTCTCTGACAAGCGCATTGGCATGTTCTTACACAAAAACAGAAAATGTTTTTCCGTCTAGGCATAAGATCATCAGTGTTATCAATGTGCTACTGAGATACATTTTATGTAGAAAGAGTAACAGAGAGTGCAGAGTGCATAGGATACAACTCAGCAGCAGTTTACTCACAAGAGGCTACATAAGAATTAAAGAAACAAAATAACAATTCCTCACACACAAAACACAACACCTTTTTTTACTGCCTACAGGAAGCTAAACTTCTCTGTTGTGTCCCTTGTGTTGTTGTTAACATATTCAGCAATGCGGCAAGCTGCTACCAGTTTTTGCAAGACCTCCACTGGGTCTTCTGCCCCAACTCTTTGATTCTGTCCTGTAGTGATGTCCCAATGGCCCGCTGAGACACTTCCTCAAACCCAGAAACCTAAGCTCACGAGACAAATGTGTACATTTGATGAAATACGCCACAAAGGTAAAGGCACAGCACATTGAACTGCCATCATTTTCCTGATGAAAATGCCATTGTGGCTACATTTGCACCTCTGTCGGCTCTGTGCCTGTACCAAAATATAAGCCCTGGTCTATTGAGTGTAGCTGCACCAATCTTGCAGACTCTTTGTTTGTCCTGTCCAAGGTAAAGTCCTCACAGCTCCAGCAATATTCACTAACCTCTCTATAGAAAGACAAAAAACTGTTTATTCTCTGTAACATAAGCACTGACAAGAAGTCAGCAGGCCTTCTTTCTTTGGTTATCAGAACCACCCACTCCTTTCATACCTTTAATAAAGATTAAATACCAAAGCTGAACCTTGATAAAAAGATACATATTTTATCAAGCATCCAAGAATAATTTCAAGGCACTGCAATGATTCAAAATAAGACTATAAATACCCTTAGAATTTGTTTTTTGTTTTTTTTACACAATATCGTGTTGGGAAATAAATGATGGCATGTTGTGAATTGTTTTCAGATTTGTTTTTGGTCTCTATCAACTCATTATCGAAGTACTTTGCTATTTAGCTGCTAAGTTGTCCACCATGTTCACCAGTTAGTTTCTAACTGTGTCTGTCTATTTTGTGCTCGGCAAGTAATGTGCAGCGTTTTAAGAGCTTTTTTACGAGAACAGCCTCCTCCTGCATGGGAAAATTACCCTTTAAGAGCAATTAGAATTAACCAAAAGACCTAACAATAATACGTCAAATATTGATTATGGCTGCTCGAAACCAATTTAATTCAATCTGGCATTGAACCTTGCATTATTTTTTTCAAAATAGGTGGGAAGTTTTTTGTTAACTGTGCAAATGTAGATGTGTCTTAGTTACAGTAACCTAGATTAGCTCAATAAGGCACACATGTGTGGCATGCTATCCTGGAAGTTGGCCACCGTATCAAAGATAACTAAACATAACTAATTTACTTCGTTTCATCTTCGTTTGTTGTGTGAATTGTATTCTTTTAAAGCGACTTTGAGTCCTTAGAAAAGCGCTATATAAATGAAATGTATCATTATTATTATTATTATTATACCAATATAAATACATTTTCTTTTTATCTGCTGTGTAATTCAGAATCTACCTTCATTTAATGGGGGGGAACTATTGAATATGCATGTTGTAGCAGCTTGGAGAGGTAATAAATGTAATCACAGCTGCTACCAAATCAGCGCTGGATAACTCAATTTCCATGTTTTCAATTAAGCAATAAATGAAACAACTCTGTGGTGTGGGTCCGTGTTAATAAATGGAGCAATTATTCTGAACACGGACAAAATTATTATAAATAAGTTTCACTCACCCTTCACTGGTTTAAATGCATGTCATGAGGGCTCATTAGGAAATCTTTGATAAATACAGACCTAGCTTGACCTCCAATTAAACTGTTCCCCTGGCTTAGAACATGATGTATTCTACTTTAAAGGCCCCAAGGTACCTATTTTTCTCCTTACTGTCGGTATCTTGAAAGAGAACTAAAACCAACTTTCTGATTTATCTTCTCTGCAACTACTGCTCTTTTATATTTCCCCTTCCACACATTACTGTTAAATCATTGTGTTCCTAAACCAGTAGGAGTGAGTTCAAACCACAAAATATGAATCACAGGGAACACAATGTTGTCACATGGCACACAATATCATGGTAATACCTTCAGCTACTGTGATTTTGGCATTTTAGCTGATGTAAGCCTTGGATGCCCTTTCGACAGAAGTGACATGAAGAGCAAAACATCAGATGTTCTGGACACTGTGTCAAATTGGAAACAGAGCTCAACAAATGTTGCCCTGCTGCCTTTGGCAACCAGAGATGAACCACCATCAAGCATTTGTCCAGTCAGGTTTGACCTTTTTTGTCAACCACCAATAAAAAGAAACACAATTTTCCAATCTTGTGCCTGTGTAAATATGAGACTGAAAACACATGATTAACTCAGAAGGAAACACTGGAACAGGGTAAAAAAAAAAAAGGTAATAAAAGAAGCTAAACTAAAAAATGATGCATTAACTGAAGTGAATAGCCTTCACTAGAAAAGTAAAGAAGAGAGAAGTACATGGGAAAATGGCACAGGGAACAAACACAGCAAACAAAGCCAAAAGCCTTAATCTTTCATGACAGACACATGACCCCAAGCGTTAAAAGAGGAGCGTGTGAGAAGTTCATGCGCTTCATGCATGGAAGAATTTCATTTTTCTACTTACATTTATACACTATGACAATGATGCCTTTAAAGTTTGGAAAAGCAGTTTGTGGCTAGGATTTTACCAGTTTGATATTTGAAGCCTACTGCAAGCAGAAAGCAAGAAGTATTGGATGTTTTGTCCAAAAAAAAACAATACACAGCAACATAAAAAAACACACTACCATTAATAATAAAGAAAAACCAGCAATGGGGAAAGAAAAGTCATTAAAGGTCCCATGTCATGGCCATTTCTACTGATCATAATTCCATTGTTGAGGTCTACTAAAATAGATTTATATTGTGCAATTTTCCAAACTCACATTGGTTTCTCATACAGCATCTCTGTATAGTATGTGTATTCACCAGGTATTCACTCTCTGTCCTAAACGGCTTGTTGGAGCTCCTGCCCCCCCCCCTCCCTGTGAGCCCAGTGTGCTCTGATTGGTCGGGACGTTACGAGGCTCGCTGCTCAGTGAGCTGGCTTACTGGTGTGGTTTCCGGGTCGGCGAGACAGCGCGAAACTCATCCTGAGCACACACAAACACTCACAGCCGAAGTAAAAACAATAAGTGTGGCTTGATATTGAGTAAGAAAAAGGTTTATAAACGCTGTGAGAATGGGTCTGCGGAGAGCATTTCTCCACAGACCCAACTCGTCTATTAACAACCAGGGAGCTCTATGCAAGTCAATGGGGACTCCCTGTTAGTTGAACATTTACGCTAAAGGTCCCCCCACTGCGTTTGATAGTGACGCCAAGGGATCCTGGTGTGTGAGGAGCTCCGCAGATTGGTCCATTTTGGTTTCGGGAACCGCATGACGTCATGCGGTTCCCGGAAGAAACAGATGGAAAAAGAGAAATCTCCAACGAGGCGTTCTGGGGCAGCATAGACAGGTCTTTTCTGTGTTAGAGTTTTACTCGCTACAGGGTGTACTTTGAGGGTTTGTGACTTTGCAGACCGTTTACATGCATAAAAACCGTCATAACACACAAGGGGACAGGTAATAACCAGAAAAGCATGACATGGGACCTTTAACTCTCCTTTGGGCCTCAGATGTACTTACCAGCAGTCTCACACTCTAACTATCAGATTCCCAGCATGCAACAAGAGAGAGAGACAGACTTTGAGGGAGCGAGAGAAACTGAGTGTCCGTCAGTTTTATCGGTCTGGCGCACAGCTTTGACTTTTGTGTGTCCCTCTTCATGTCAGTTGAAGTGTTAATGCTGTTCTCTGCTTTGTGCTTCCTTCAGGTGGCTGTGACAGGGGCACCCCCGGGGCAGGACCCATGAGGAGTCATAGAAGATGCTCACAGCCTGGGCGCTTCTGCTCTTCTTAGCCATGTGGGTGAGAAGCACCGCTGGTGGCCCTCTCTCCTTCAGACTAGGTACATGTATACAATTACATTGCAGTATTTTACAGTCTTGTAGCAGCAGAAGAACTGCTGTAAAGTCTGACCCATGGTGACCTTGAAAGTGTTCTATTTTTAAAGGTATTTTTTTATTAATTAATAATAATAATCTTTATTTATATAGCACCTTTCATACAACAAGTGCAGTCCAAAGTGCTTCACATAGACATTTCACAGCAAATGTATATCACACAGAATACAGATACCAGTAAAAGACATACAAACAAACTAAATTGCATAGAGTAGACATATATAAAAAATACAATTAGATTAAAAATTAAATGAATGAAATTGAATTTAAGGATTTCATTTCCCATTTTAATTGAAAAATCTAAATCCGAACGAATTGTACATTTTAGTTATTGAGCTTGACTTTAAACCAAATTGCTGTTGAAATGTTGGCTCAAGTTGACAGCACTGTCAGCTTCACAGTTTTATAATGGGAAAATTAGCTGAAGAAATTCAATTGAAAGTGGTAAGAAAATCCCTAGTTTCCACAGTCAGACACGGCTTGGGGTATTTACCGGCTATTTTGTAATAGTGCAATCTACATGAAACTAGCCTTTTCTTCATGGAATATATAAATAAACCATGATCTCAGTCTAACCCCATTGCTAACCCTATCGCTACTGCTGTGGTCTGGGCTATTGTTAAGCATCACTACTGCACTGGGGCATTTTTAATGGCACAATACGTATCACTTCTGGCTTGATCAATGGCATGGTTAAGTCAGAAGCTTGAACAGTTCAATATAATAGGACAAAGTCCAACAGAAACAGTAATACTCTGCTTCTGGAAAATGTGGCAGATCGGTGGACCACGGTTGAAACTGACTAGACGTTGCATCTGAGAGGGCATGGTTCAAAAGTCTCATAGCCTGACAGAGTCAGTGAGTAACCAATGGGAGTTGTTCCTTCTCGTTAATATTCTCCTACAGTCAGCAGGTCTCTGACACCCTGTCACTAGCTCCCCGTCTACCAAAAGTTTGACTGACTGTCTCTTTATTTATTTAAGTATAGACCCCTTGTCTAAGGTGGATATCTCCTTTTGAGAGTGTGTATGTACTGCATATAGGAACAAATGGGAAGTATAGGTAAGGATAGAGAATTAGAATGTGATTTATTCTGAAGCTCACAGATTCTGCTACCCTGTTGCCTGCTTTAAATGTATGGCACGGTAGTCAACTTTCAGAAACATCTGAGAGCGAAATATGTTGTCTTGGGAAAAGGGCGGAAGTTAATTACTCAAAATCAGTATTCATACCATGTGGATTTGTGTAAGGCTATTAAAACAGGTCTCTTCTGGTGTCTTGGAATCACTTGTCAACATGATGAAACTGCAGGGCTGAGCATTCATTCCTAGAGAAATGAGTTTCAGTAATGATGAAAACATTATTTACTTCACCTCTGAGAAATTCCCAAGACTTACAGGCTCATAAATGCATATTGGAACTTTATTGCAGCTCCTTTTGCTGATTCCCTCCGCCCGTTAAGTCTCGTGTTTTGTAAGAGAAATAAGTATTTTTATTCTTCCAGTATTTTGAGCCTCTACAAGATGTTCAACTGTCATCCCTGAAAAGTATCAACATTTCTTATTTTTGAACAAGACATGTTTGTATCACTCTCTCTTCTCGCATGCTCCGTGTCTCAGAGCTCTGCCACAGAACAGCTTAGGTTTGCAGGATCCTTTTGGTAGTTTTGCATATATTGCCCCAAACCATCTTCTGTATTTTGAAAACAACACAGCCTTTAAAGTGTACTGTGTCAACAAGACCATGAACAAATCATTCCTTGTTTGTGAATATTGTTGGATAAATGAGCCCCATGTCTCTGTTTTCTTCTCCGGCTTTCTCTTTTACCCTCCACCTGAATGTACCAAACCTCTGCAGAGATGGTTGTTTATGTTTATCTCAGTCATGTAGCATCGCTGATGGATAATTAGGCAGTTGGCCTGTTTTTCCTTTTCTTCTAATGTGATCTGCGTACAGCAGTCTCTCTGCCAGTGTACTGTCAGTATGTGTTTGTGGTTGCTGGGCCTGTGTGTGTGTGCATGCATTTATGCACAAGGCAGTATGAGGCATAAATATGCACAAGAACAGGCACTCACAACCACAAAAAATGTCATTGGACACCAAGGCACACAAACAAACGCATACCCCCAAACACCACAACAAACTCCCTGCCATTTGCGCTGCAAGAGATGGTATTTAACATGGCTGTCCCTTGGGTCCTGCCTGGCTGGCATAATGTCACTGTCTGGCCTTCTCTGAATGAATCGGGACCAAAAACAACCTCCCGCCCCTGCCACATTCCCCGCCAGGACCAAGCAGCAGCCAGCAGCTCAGTGTAGGTGTGGAACTGGGCTTTGGGCAAGTCCCAGGTTGAATGGACTTTCGTTTACAAATGATCTGGTATGGTAGGTCTTCATGGCCTCTTATCGACCCTCTGATTGGTAAAAACAGATAAAAGGTGGTTTTCATTTGATTTATTACAGCATTTGAATGGTGTAATTTGCAGTGTTGTTTGAAGTTGTTGCACAGTATGAAAGATTAATTACAAGAATATAGGCCTGAGAGTGTATAAATAATTTAATTTTCTTCAGTATTGCCTTTAATAAGAAACACCACAGAGACAAGGGAAGCTTTAACGAATCATGAATAGCAATATTCCAATAGACAATACAAGAAGCAAACACATAACATGTTTGATACAGTATATTAAGTCAAATTGATTCACAAAATGAAAGAAAATGATGTTGAGAAAAACCTCTTTAAGCCATGGGATGAGTAAAACATTCAAACAAGAGGAAATCATGAATAATATTACATTGAATCCCTGTTCATTACCATGTGGTGCAGCCAGTTCTTGTTGGTTGTATTCCCCATTAGTTAAGTGAAAGAGCGTCTGCCGCCAACATTCTTTCAGCCAATCAACCGCTGCTTACACTTATTGAAAGAATTATTCCACACACACACATTACTACTATGTTGTCTCTGGTAATATAGGGAGTCTAGGAAAAGAGTCAGGATAACATTCATTTTTATTTGGGTTACTATCATTAACACTGCCAACTTTGTCCAACAGAGCACATACAGTAGTGCAAACACTCACTACCTCAGTCATCCTCCCTCATTACCACCACTGAGGTGCCCTTAAGCAAGGCCCATAACCCCAACTGCCCCAGTGGAGCTGCTCAGTGGCCTCAAATAAGGCTGTGGTTGTACTGGGCAGCGTTCAGGTCTGAATGTGTTACTGTGTGAATGGGATCAGGGTTTTTTCTACAAAAGAGAGCATCGCCCTCAGTGCAACTTCCCTGAATAAATAAAGATGGAAAAGGATATAAAAGCCAAGTATCTGCTGTCTGAGGATCTCATGGAAAAGGAAGTTGTATAGGAGATGTTTTTCCTGTCTTATATGGCTTGTTTAAATGAACTAAATTAGAACAAAAATAGTCAGACTATTAAGATAACTAAGGTTTTAAAAAATGGTTTTATCTCCTTACCACAATCAGCTAGATAATCCAAATAGGTGAGTCTTGATTTGCTGTTTTTATCGTTTTGCTTTGACAGACTTGTTGGATTTCTATTCTGTTCAATAATAAATCCAGACTGGCACTGGCATCAGATTCTCTTTTAAATCCCACAATGTCTAAGCATTGAGCTTCACCACAGGGATATGCTCCTCCTATGAGAGCAACACTATATGTAGCTGTTGTCAGCTCACTGGGGTGCCGTAAATTTCCTCAGCAGATATCCTTTTGCTCACCTCAAATATGCCTTTCATACTGGGCACTGGATTTTTTTAAGAGCAAATGCGGTTTCTCTTTAAATGTCAGGATTATTATCGATAGTTATGGAAATCTGTTGAAAGCTTCACACAATGTCTCCAACACCAGATTTGTGTTGTCTTCATAATGGATTTGTGGAGTATATCTTCCATGGTATTGTTTTGTAATTCATGACAATACCCTTAAATAGACCAATTAAATGTGCTTTAAAGGTTTTTTACACGGCTTCAAAATGTATTAAGCATATCATGTGTGTTGATTCAAAAACATTTGATCGAGAAAAACATTTGAATAACACATACGGATTCACAAAGGCTCTACTCACATGTAGTTATAGTATAGACTTACATGTACATAGACATTACAGATAGATAATCATAAATCTATAATACAACCTTTCAAGTCACCTTATATATATATATATACATATATATATACATATATGGATCCACCACTGTGTGCCAGAGGTGGGACCAAGTCATTGTTTTGCAAGTCCGAGTCAAGTCTCAAGTCTTTGCGCTCAAGTCCGAGTCAAGTCTCAAGTCTTTGCGCTCAAGTCCAAGTCAAGTCTCAAGTCAGGATGGGAAAGTTCAAGTCAAGTCCAAGTCCTAAACTTTGACAAAACGAGTCTTAAACAAGTCCTTATGTGCTTTTCAACAAATGTAATGACATCGATCAACAGAATAATACTTAATAATCAAACTGCTCTTTATTAGTCACATTCATAATTTAATAATCAATTTTCTCTCTGCACACCTGAATCTAGATCCCTCTGCAGGTGGTACTTTAAGTATATTTTGATGATAATACTTTTGTACTTTTACTTGTAACATTTTGAATGCAGGACTTTTTATTGTAACCGAGTATTCCTACACTCTGGTACTTTTACTCAAGAACAAGATCTGAACTTCTCCCACCTCTGACAATAAATCCTGAGTGGTTACCAAAATAGAAACCCTGCTCTGAAGGTTATTTTCATTTTACAAATCCTGCACTCAGCTTTGCTTTCTCCAATATCATTGAAATGCAGCCAGATGCTGCTTCTTTTTTCGGTTTTCGCAAATTTCTTGACTTTTTCCTGCGCGTTTGCATTTAAATCCGTCTCCCCGTCTCCCCGTGGCTCTGTGTAGCTGGCCTGTACCACTACACCTGCTGTCTTTGGAGCGTCTGCCCCCCACCCTTCTTTCACA